CTTGAAAGGTATCAGAAAACTGAATGAAGGATTCTGGAGGATGGGAGCTGGGGATCATTTCTAGCACCACCCTCAGCTCACCCTGTGGTTTTAGGCAAGTCCTCTGGATGCCTGTCTGTGACACAGGTCAAATATTTCGGGTGCTGCTCGCAGATGTCAAGTGAAGGATTACAGTGCTAGCACAACAAGGAACTCCAGAGTACTATTTTTGAAGTAACGACACCATTTATGAGCCCAAATCCAATTTTTAACTGTGGAGCTGATCTGCACCTTTGGAGCCAACCTCCACCAAGTTTCAGACACTGTGTCACAGAGTCACACTCACTTCTGTCACAAGCTGCTCCTTGAGGTCACGTTCTCTCCTCACACATGCTGGGCTGTTCTCAGCCTCCAGCCTGGGATTAAGCAGCTCATTTTCCACCAAGGACAGTCTGGAACAAGGTGGGAGTCAGTGCTCCAGTCGTGCCTCTTGGGCAAGGAGGGTTCACCCCACTGGAGGTGGTGGCCTGGGAGGACTCAGAGGGCTTCCAGGAGGCACCAAAGCCAGTGGTGTTCCTTTAAATTCAGTTTTCAACTACAATGTGAGCCATGGAGCTTTGACCTGTACACAAAATTCACACTGAAACAGCTGGACAATCACTTTGCTAAATGTGTTCCCTGCCATGGAGTGTACCTCCGTTTGTTTGGGGTTGATAACTCAAAAAAACCCCCCAGAGATATTTTCTATAATATGGAATGAGGAGATGTTGCACTTTACTTAAAGAGAACTCACTTTTAATGAAGCAAAATTTTCATATTCTACCTAAACAAAGCAGCACAGCCCAAGCCAAAAGGGTATTTGTGCATCACACCCAGGGCTTGGCCAAGCCCTTTCCCTCTGAGCAGCACAGGGCACTTACCTGGGCAGTGCAGAAATAACTCCCCCTCGGTGCTGGACTGCTCCTGTCTCCTGTAATTACTTCTCCTCAGGGATCTCTGCCAATCTCTTCCCAGTGGACATATGGGCTCAGCAGGCAGGGACAGGCCCAAAGTGCTTTTCTTGCCCTGACGTCAGTGGGGGAAGGATGACTGAATTCAGCTCCCAGGAAAATCAAACATTACCTGACTCCTGCCCCTTTATCAGGACTGTAGTGTGGCCCAGTTATTCTTACAGCTTCTTGAGGGATCTTCAGGCTTTTGCTCTCAAATAAAAGTGTCTTTACACTTAATTAGAAGATAATGCCAGCCAGCTTCTGCTAATTATTTGTATTTTTGCTTAACACTTATAAATCTCGGTGTTCAGGTATTATTACAAGCTAATATTTGTCTTGTAACACACATTAGTCATTACAATTAGCAAGTAGAAATAGATTAGTCATGCGCAAACAATCTCATAAATGAAGTATTTATGCCCCCTTTGGGGATGGAAAGGAAGGTAATTTGAGCCCTTTATGATTATCAAGGGAAACCTGCCTTGTCTCTTCTATTCACGTGGCTGTTTCAGGATTTCTTTCCAGGCAAACTCCCTGGCTGGGGGCTCCTTTAAAGCCCAGCAGCACCATGAGAAGCTGTGGCAGGGCTTTGCTGAGCACCATCAGGTGTCACCTCTCCTGAGCTGCTGGTCTGCACTGCTCAGAGCAGTGTCACTCCTTCCCTCCCCAAACCTCTATAATCCATATTTCTGCTTCTGCCCGTGGCTGGAGGGAAAGCTCCCTTTCACAGCCCTGAATGGGGATGTTTTCTTTGAGCAGTGAACACTTTTATCCACAGATTTAGGGCTCCCTAAATCCTAAATCTCCCCCTTCCCTGTGAAAGAGAGGTTGAAGGTCCCAGGATGGGACTGAGGAGTGGGATGTCACCCTGCCTGCTGGGAATGTGGCACCCCTGGCATGGAGCACATCAGGGAGCTCCCTGCTCAAAGCCACTCCAAGCCATGACCGTGAACTTCCAGATGTACCTAGCAAGGAAAAGGTTATTGCTTTTTATTCCATTTTTCCAGAGGTTTTTCTTTGCCAAGCCTACATAAAATTTCATCTTGGGTTTTGGGGTTTTTTTTCTCAAATTTGACGAGCCACTCAAAAAACCTCACTCTTTGTGAGTGTGTGTGTGTATAAAATCTCCTAAAAAGTCACTTCAAAAACAACCAGAATAAGCCATTTTAAAATGAAAACCCTCAGTCATTTCACATCAGTAGATTTAACACCTGCATTAGTGCAAGGTTTCTGCACTGGTGACCTGCACTGTCCCTGTCTGTAACACCCCATTCCCACCCAGGCCTTCCTTTTTGTCTTTGCTCTCCTTCGTTCAATCTGATTTGATTTAATCTAATCTAATATTTCCCTGGAAAAATCAAGCAACTCCCAGCTCTCCCTCAAGGAAACGTTTTCTCTGGCTACAGGAGCTGCCAAGCTTCCCGAAGGAAGGTGGGAAGGAGGGAATATTTGTTGCTATGTTTAGCACCATTACAGAAATAGGTCACATATTGTTTCTGAGAGAAATGGATCACCAGCACACAGGCCCCCACAACTCATCCTGGGCTCCCTCCACCCCCGTACACAGTGCTTGAAGCATTCCAGCATCCCTGCCAAATTCCCTCACAAATACTTTAATTCTTTACGTGCTTGTCTCGTTCCATCTGTTCCACATGCTCTTTATGCCATTTGCATTCACTGGCAGAGTCTGTGAGATGACACCACACGGTATGAATTTGAGGAGGTTTGGGGATGGCAGGAGGGGAATGTGGAGCAGCTCAAGGTTTGGGGTTTGCTCCTCCAGCCCGGGGAAAACCGGTGTGAGGGTCCCAAGGTTCTCCCATCAGAGCAGCCACACTGTGCCTTCAGGCTCAGCAGGAAGAAAAGACTGTCCCTCACAGCATCTTGTGTAGGAGATTGTGTGCCCAAACAAACAACAAAGACAAGGGAAATGGGATGGAAAGGAGGAGTAAAGGAAAGCAGCACTCGATGGGAAAGTGGTGCTCAGGGTGTGCAGTGGAACTGCCCGTGAAGCAAATGCTCTCCGTGTGATCCCTCAGCACAGGAACACTGGTTTTGGGGTTTGGCAGTGTGGTCACCCCAGCCCACAGCCAGCTGTAAGTCTGGAATACACACAGGGGTCACAGCAAACATCTGTTGGACACGGATCAGAGGATAAGAATAAGGAAAAACCCCCACCTGGTCAGGGACATTGGCCCAAGCCAAGCCCAGACGAGCTGTGTGTGCTGGGTCACAGCCTCCAGCTCCTTGAACAAATTCTGTGAGAGCCTCAGGCCAGGAAATCTGAATTATGCTCCAAGGGCTGGACACTGAACCTTTTCCTCCCCCTCCATAACAGGACCTCAGATAAAAGAAACTGCACTTCAAGGGCACGGATGAATCCAACAGCCATTCAGCTAAAAAGCACCAAAAATACATCCATTTCTCAGGCCATGATGCAATACAATTACTCTGCTACTATTAGTAAGATGTGAAAATACCTGCTAGATTTCATCAGAGGTCAGTCAACAGTTCCAACCTTCCCTTTTCCCAAAGTGAGACGACTCAGCCTGCTTACCTGGCAAGATGGATTTCTCAATCTTTCCCTCTCCATTTTTCCACATTCCTTTCCCCATCCCATTTTTCCTGCTTAGCTTGTGTGCTGCAGCCATACCCTGTTATCTCCTACCCCATCTCTCCCTTTCCTCCCTGCCTGTTATTACCACGCTGTCTTTAATGTTTCCCTGCTCCCCTTTGTTGCCAGGCTCCAGTTTTCGTGTTTGATTCATACAGTTCATTGTTTCTGCTGCAAAGGGATCATCATCTAAAATAACCTGCATGTGCTGGGGCAAAAGCAGGGAAGGGAAGCCTGACATTCCCTGCTCACTCTCAGTTTGAAGCCTGCCTTGGAGGGGAAGGGAATTGGGATACTCTTTGCAGCATGGCATTGGATTTTTGATCCAGAAGGAAAAATAAGAGCTAGATTCTCAGTTATCCAAACACTCTGTCCTTTATACTTGTGCCGAGTCAACCTGGAATAATATGTCCTGGATTCCTGATCACTTCGTATCTTTCAGCAAAAAGTAGAGAAAAATCAAGAGCTGGAGGTGATGGCGTGGACTCACCATGGTGTGGCTGAACCTGGGAGCTTCCAGAGGGGTTAATCTGGCAGGGGAAGAGCTGAGGGACAGATTTGCAGAGGAGTGAGGCTGCTGCACCCCCTGCCCCAGGGAAGGCCCTGCTCTCCCAGGACAGGGCTGGCTCATGTGCTCATGGAGAGTTTTGTGTCCTCAGCAGATGCTCACAGGAGACAAAGTGTCCCCTCCCAGCCCAGTGGGACCCCTGACGGGGGTGTGTGTGTGAAATCTCTCCCTTCAGCAAGGTTTAGCCCTCCTGGTGCTCAGGAACAACGTGCTGACCCCCCTGGCCACCTCTGCTCCCCTCTGACACAACTGGATCCCACAGATCCCCAGCCCAGGACATTCTCCTCCAGTTTAGGTACCCAAGGGCCATCCTGTTAGAAAATGTTCCCTTTGGATGCTGGGGTGATGTCCCCTATTACTGCAGGAGCAGGGACGTGGAGACAGCTCCCCAAGGAGGTTCAAACCCGAATCTCCCCTGGAAATGACCCAAGAACTAAATTACAGGGTGCCTGTTCCGGGCTGGGTGTTCCCCACCCTCGCTTTGATGATAGTCCAGCGAGTGCAGAGTGAGAGATGCATTGGGCAAAAGAGAAGGAGAATTATTAAAGCCTAATGATTAAGGCACAGACTTATTTTGCCTTGTTTTACCACCTACTGCTTTCCCTAATGACACGAGAGGCTCTGTGCAAAAGCGTCCCTTTGATCCCCAGAACCACTGAAACTCCAGGGAATCGGCTCAGCTCAGGAATTTCCCTCACCTACGAGGTGCTACAGTTTTGTGCTACAATTGCAAGGTAATTTCCCTTCTAACCTCGTTATTCCACCTTTTAGATTTTCTTCCTTTTTTTTTTTTTTTGGTGTCTATTGTCTTTGCTAATTACAGCTTTAGCTTTACCTTTGAATGCCTCACCCTGGCATGTGCTGCTTGCAGAACGGTGGGGAGGCAGAAATCCCATTGTCAGGGGACCCCTGGAGGGAAGAAAACCAGGAGGATGGGATTCAGTAAATGATCAGTAAAACCACCCAGGTAGGTATTTCCTACTGGCTCCATTTCACCAAATTCAAGCGATTCTCCATTGCAAGTGATTTCCTTATTTTACATTTTGCCTTCTTTCCAGACAGGTTTGAAATTTTCGATCACAGAGCCATGTGTTTTACACAGTATATATATATATATATTATGGTTTCTTGTGTATTTTTGTGACCTTATATTTGGATGTCAGCACCACTTGGGAGTGACAGCTATGAGAAATATTTCCTGTTCTACATCGAGGTTGCCAAGCACACACACAGGAAGGCAGGTGAAAAAAAGCTCCTAATACAAATGTGCCCACAAAAGCAGTTGTGTGTCCTTTGCAAAATAATTTAAAAATACTTTAAAAATAAGTATGGAATAAAACCTCTACCCAAATAGCTCACAGGTGGAATTCCATGAGCAAGGACACTGGAAACAGCAAGAGGAATTATCTTCATCAGTTTAGGGTGGAGTTCAGAGTCTTCTGTGTTTTAGGGATAAAAAGATGTTCTAATGGGAAGGGGGGAACTGGTCAAGTGCAGAGTAAGCAGAGGAGAAACAAGAGTGGCCAGTTAAGACATGAACTTTCCAGCCCTTGGAAAACACAGTGTGTATTCACATCAAGCACCAGGCACATGGTGCAGTGAATAAAATAGTTCAGAGTTGTAATCCCAGCGGGACCTGGGCCAGAGGGTGAAGGGAAGGGAAGGGAACACACTGGAGCTGTGATTCAGGATGTCCTGGAATCCTTCCTGACCCGCTGGGTCGGAATTTCTGACTCGACACTCTGCCTTGCCTCTGAGTAGGAAACTGGATCCTGACTGCAGGATTCTTTTTATAGAGCAAACTCTGGTGCCAACTGCCTTCGGAGCACAGGCTTGTCCCTCCCAGTCTTCAGGCAGCACACCAATCCCGGGCCAGGAGAGCCAGGAAACGTGATCCCTGTGCCCCAAACACAGCCCAGCTCTGGCCAGAGAGCAAACAGGAGCCCAAAGCTTGGCCTAACTCCCCAGCCCAGCAAACACAGGGGGCACTGAAGGGTCTCAAAGCCACCAGCTCATCCTCGTCCTCTTCCTCCTTCCCCTGTAAACTTGGCCAGCACCAAAGGAATGGCCTGGCCCAAGGAATGCTGGCCAGGGTTGGGGGCTCCAACAGGGATTTCCCATGTAATGACAGGCAGGGGGTGGGAAATCACCCACTGGAACACCCCTGGATGACAAGGATTTCCACCCCATTTCTTCCCCAGCCTGTCCTGGGGGATCAGACAAGGCCCCTCCGAGCTGGTTTGGGGCACTGGGACTGATAACTTTGCCCACAGCCTGAGATGTGTCCTGGCTTTGGTGTTGGTTACACCTTAGGAAGGGAAAGATTTGAAATCATCGTGCTCCCTTTTGTATCATTTTATAATTGAAAAGCATAATTTTGTATTATTTTATAATTGAAAAGCATAATTTTATCCCTTCATTTCCACTGAGTGGAAAAGATCAATAATGCACTTAAAAACACATAAATCAGGGAAGCAAAGCAGAGCCTCTCAGAACCTCTTTTGATGTGGAGACAGCACCTCCTCTTCTAGAACAACCCACATATTTAAATCAATATTGATCATTTGGCCCCATTGTATCTTATAGACAATATCAATTAATGATATTAATTAATGTCTCGGTTTCCTTCCCACTGAGGCTCCTCCTCAAGCCTGTGGAGAGGGCAGAGTCAGCCCTGGCAGGTTCCAGCCCTTGGCACCCACTTTGGGTTTGAATGAAGTGCAGGTATGAAGTGACTTGCCCAAGGTTATGAAAAATAAATTATAGAGGAGCAACCCAGCACCGAAACCACAAAACCCAGTGAAGCTCTTAAACCAAAAGGCCTTTTGTCTCATCCAAGAAATTTTAAAAATAACATCTCTATAAAGAGCAAAATTCCAGACAAAGGTGTATCTGACACCATATTTAACACTGTTCTACAAAGGAAATTAATTTTAAGCAGTCAGACAGAAATGTAAGCAGTAGGCCAGTAACAAGATGCAAAGAGAGTCTTCCCATTCTTCCTATAGAACAAAAATTGTAGAGATCTTAGTTTGGAAAAACAGAAGCAACTCACCCAGCACCATTTGTAGCACCAGTTCCCTCCATGGGTTTGTCCTTTTCTTCTCTGTGTAGTTCATAAAGAGTCTGAGTGCTGTGGATTTGGTCCATGAGCTCTCCTGGATCAGCTTCAGTCCTTTCAACAGAAGAAATAACATTTCAAAATCACTAAAGGAACATTTTCTAAAACTACCAATGTGTCTAAGCCCCTCCCATTTGTAGTAGGACTGCTCAGGTGTCATCTTAACAAAAACTATTGTTCAAAATGTCACCCTGTATCTTCAATTATTTGCCAAATCTGGCATGGAAAAACAGAATCACAGAATCCTGGGATATGCTGAGCTGGAAGGGACCCATCAGGACCATCCAGTCCAACTCCTGGCCCTGTGTATAGGCTGGATGATTGTCTTCTCCTCCCTGTTTTTCACAAATCCAGTGTTTTAGGGAGGAGAAGGAAATAGATTTCAATGTGGCTGAACAAATAGTTCTGCTGGAAATTTCTACCAAAACACACTTTCCCTGCTGTCCATGACTTTTTTGGGTTTCGCTCTTTCTTAGGATACATCAATTTATTTGTATGACTTTATAGAAAAAAAAAAACAAACAAATCACAACAAAAATTGAGGAACCATCTAGGTGAGATTTGGGAGGTTATTTCAATTAATATTCACTGCTGGTATTTCCTTAGATTTATCCATTCCAATTAGCAGTGATTTAAAGAGAAAATCCTGCTTGTGTTGCCTCAAGGCACAAAGAAACAGCAACTGGTGCTGCTATAACACATCCTTCCTGCACAGGGGGAGGCACTAAAAGGATTCCTTTCCACTTCATCCCCAGGGTCTCCTCCCTGTGGGATTTTTCCACGTTATCCTACACGTGTGACAGAAGGGATGGGTTGGAGGGACAGTGGTAAATTCAGTGGAAGGAATAAAACATCTTTAAGGCTGCGCTTGTGGGGAAATGAATCCTTCCTGCACACACAGCATGGATTTGGGTCCAAGAGCAGATTTTAGGGAGTGGGTTTGCAGAGTTATCACCTCAGAGGAGGGAAACAAGGCACAGAGCTGTGCTATCCCTCACCCAAATCCAGTTCCTCCACCAGAAGGTGGCTATTCCAAGAAAATGTCCTGGATGCAGAAGAACCAGTTTGAAATGGTTTTCCCAGGATGAACCCAACCTTTGCCCAGGATTGATTCTGCCCATCCTGGCCACTGATCCCCCATAAATCAGGGGATATTGTTCTCCCTGGCCTGTTCCGTGGTGAGGAGCTCCCATGGATGGCAGGGAAGTTTCCTTGCAGAGCTGAGTGCAGGGAAGGCCCTGGGAATGTGCTCTGCAGCAGCATCTGCATTGCAGATTGGAGAGGGAATTGTGCCCCAAGTGCCAAATCTCAGCTTTGAGAGCAAAACTATTTTTGTTTCATGCCAGTGCAGAACACGATCCTTTGGGTAATGCACAACTGGGTGGTTTAAAAGTAAAAAAAAAAAAAAAAGCCCAGTAACTGTCCTGCCATGTATCAAAGTAATTTAAAAATACTTTAAAAATTATTTTTTAAAACATTTTTACTCCCACGTAAGATTGACAGTAACCCAGGGCATATGTTTTTATTTACTTGCTTATTTTCAAAGAGACTTGGAAAACTCAAGCTACTGTGCAGAGACAACTCCCCACTATGGATGGGGTAAAAGCCAGCACTGTTTAGGTGCTGTTTAGGAACAAATGATAATCAACAAAGTTAGCAGAGATTTTATTTTGGTAGGAACCATGAGCAGCCACAGCAGTACAGCAACATTTCCTGGCAGTTTAGAACTAGAAGAGAACGGGATGTAAAAATTATATGCTGAAATTATTGCAAGAATTTACAGAACCACAGAATCAACTAGGCTGGAAAAGATCTCTGAGGTCATCAAGTCCAACCTTTGAAATTCAGATTTCCCCTCACTCAAATTTCGGGATAAATTTCAGATTTAACACATTTGGTCAGGACTATCGTAAGGGCCAGGGAACATTTCATTGCATCTTTATTGCAACAGCAGGTGTTGGGAAAATAAAAAGCCTCCTTTTCCTTTACTCCTCCTCCAGACAAAGCTTGGTCCTTCTCTCCCCCTTAATGACAAACCCAATGTGCAATTCTCTGCCGTTGCAAGGCCCAGTTTAAGTGCAGGTTTAACAAACACTGATAAAGAATAGGTGTATTTACTAATATACCTGATGATGTGAAAAACAGGTACTTCTGCTTACCAGGAGAGTACAGGGCAGGCTTCCTGTTGTGTTTCAGCTGCAAATGGATTTCTTTGGTAGAAATGTTGTAGCCTTTTGGAGTTGGCTTCACACCAAGTCCCCCAGACTACAGCAAAAACTTCCCCCTCCCCTTTGGGCAAAGGAAAAAAACTATACAAACTGAAAGACCAGAAACTAACCGAGCTATAGCAAAATATATATATTTACATGTATCACAGTTATATACAGTTACAACGCTATGTACATATAAAAAGAGAACTCCAAACAACCCCCCCCCAAAGGGGAAGGGAAAGGGAAAAGGGACAAAAACCACAAAAGAAACCCGAAGCAGGTGTGCACAATCAATAAAGAACTAGCAAAAGAAAATCTTACTACTCTCCTTGAGACAGCAGAATCACGCCAAGCACCGCTGGCACCTTCCGCCTCCCGAGGCCTACGAGGCCTCACTAGGCCTCACTAGGCCTCACTAGGCCTCACTAGGCCTCACTGGGCCTCACTAGGCCTCACTAGGCCTCACTCCCCCACACGAGCAGGACCGACAGCAAAGAACTTGTGCCTTCAGATCCACCAGAAGAGAACAGAGAAGAGGCTTCTCTCTCCTTCTTATTTATACCCTAGCTTATATAAAAATCATATGGAATATTGGGAACATGGCCACTTCCTTGGTTACAAACTGGTCACTGAGGAAGGCCTAGAATAAAACTATCACAAATGTGCTTTGTAGCAGTGGCTGAGAGTGAAGAGTGTAGTGATGGAGCAGGGAAACAGGCAGGGTTGGCAGTGCCAGTGATTAAACCTGCTTTGGCCCATAAACTACTCTTTAAAATGGAATACAGTGAATATAGATAGCTGCACTATCGAACAACCTGAGAGGAGAGGGAGAAAGGACAGCCTGGTTTGTGTGCACAAAACTCTTCTTCCATCAGTTTGAATATGGTGATGCCCTTAACCCACATCGATGGTAAATGATATTATTCACACATCTTCAAACCCTGTGTGTGAGCAGCCAGCTCTCAACACTCACTCCCTGCCTGACCCCAACAAATTTCAACGGATTTTTATACAGGATTGCATCAAATATATATATATATTATGGATTTTATTTTTATACAGGATTGTATAAAAATGGATTGTAACTTATCCTGGGATCCACTGAGTACCAATGTACCCAGCAAAGGAGCAAATGAGCAGAGAGCAGAGAACTTTTGTTCTGTGTCAGTTGAGTGAGGGTGCTTTGCACCATTGGGTTTATTGTTATATATGTACTTTAAGTCAATATTCCCCTCTGTTAATCCAGACCATCTCTGTTGGCTTGGATGAAATACATAATGACTTAATCCAAGATTTGATGTAACAGTAAATGAAATTTGGCCCTGCCATCAAAAGCATTGGAGGGAAGGGACATGATCTTAATTATTGCCTGTAAACAGTCCATCAGTTGCCCTGAAAAAAAGGTTTTTACAATGTGTTTGGGGTCCAATTTCAACCCTGTAATGCCTTCCGTGTGAGGTGGCTCTTCAGCACTGCTGCTGTGACTGTCCCTGTTCCACAGCCCCTCAACTGTCAATTAATGAGAGAAGCAACAAGACCCACCCACCCACCACTGCTCTCCCAGAGAAACAATTCCCTCATATCTGCTCCAGAGAACGAAAACAGGGAAAAAAGGAACTCTTCCTGCCATACCCGGGGTGCATTTCTCCCCCCTGTCTCAATACCTTAGATCACGCTCTGCTTTCAGCAGGTTACAGCACATTTCACTCTGTCAGCAGGAGATAATTTGCAGCCCAGGTGATGGATCTCCCCGGCTGAAATGAAGCATCTCCTCGTGCTGCTTAACGAGGCTCCTGATTCTAATCACGTCCATCACGATGTGGGGCTGAAATTCGCTGGGATATTTACATGGAGGAAAAAGAAGACAAGCTGAAAGGGGGAAAGAAGCTTTAAAGGTGAAGAAACGAGGTACAGGCAAACCCCTCAGAGGAGGAGCCAGGAGGACTTTGGATTCCCTGCCATTTAAACTCTTATAGTATTCTCTCTCCCAAAGATTTAGCAAAAAGAAGAAGGGTTTGAAAGACAAAAATTGAAAATTAATTGTGGTGAAATGACTTAAGGAATACTACCCACTTCCCTTCCCTTCACGCAGGAATGACAGCTGCCTCACATGAGCAGGGATTCCCGGTGAATAAGGAGGTGTGGGAGACTTCCCTTTCAGTTAACAAGGATTAGTTTGGAATGGGCTCACTGTAGCCCCTCCTTACAGGGGAATATCAGTAATTTCAGAGCCAGGAGTGTGCCCTGGGAAGCAATGACCAAACGTGCAAATCCTGGTGCCCATCACTGATCCCTGTATTTCGTAGGAAAAGTGGTCTGTGAGGGAGAACAACCAAACCTCTGCCCATGTCACCTGTATTTATACCACAAATTAATTTAGATGCGGCATCTGGAATGCTACAAAAATACCCTTCCTGTGTCACAGTCCCTAAATTCTCCACCAGCACCAATTTTCTGAAGGTGTGGGGAGTGTTGTCCTCATTTCACAAGCACAGAAATGGAAGAGCAAAGCCACCCAAGGACCCTGTGGTAGTGACCAAAGTTGGATGAACTCGTTCTCTTCAGCTCAGAGAAGAGAGAATGAAGACAGAGAGATGTAAATCCTGCCTGCCGTGGATAAAATGGGTGAAATACTATTATTTGCTGCTTCTCACATTACAAGGATTAAGGAGCCGTGGTGAAGAAATCTGATAAATTAGTTTAAAACCAGACAAAACAGGGATTTTTCTCCATAATTGAATCTGTGGAATTCATTGATGCAGGATGTTGTGAAGCCAAAAAAACCACAGGAATAATCCATCTGAAATCGAAGGCAATTTAACCAACAGGGGAAAAAATCAAATAAAATTATTTACATCCACAGCTTCTTACCCAAAATTCACCTCAAACTTGTCCCTCCCCTTTTCTATGTCTGAATTCTTTGAGTGGGAATGAACAAACCATCACAGAGCTCTCCAGAAACACGGATATATTTCCAGTATGTAGGCCTTGCACATCTGAATATAGAGATTTTTCCTTCCCACTGCGCTCCCAGGAACTTCATTTTCCAGAGAGGGAGGAAGACACCAAGTTCCAGGGAAGAAATGGGTCTGTAAACTCGGTGTTTTTGATGGAGCCCAGCCGATGGCTCCATCCCACTGAGGAGAAATCCTCCTCCCACAGCCCCTGGGAGAAGAGGGAACTCCTCATGTCCAGCACTCCAGGCAGAAGGAACTTTCCACTGCATTCCCAGCTCCCTCTGAACTTCCAACCCCCTTGTATCCTCTGATTACTGGGACCAGCGGGATTATTGCCACGACCTACTTTCCAGAGTGTTTTCCTGCCACTTGGGGCTGGGGCTGTGACGTGGCAGGAGCTGCTCAAGTGCCACGTGAAGCCCTGCCTGTAATGCAGGTGCCCGAGCACTCTACACAGGCACAGCTACGACTTCCCACAAAACAGACACCAAAAATCACGTTCTCTGCTGCTGGGAGGCCCCAGGACACTCCAGCACACGGTTTTTGTGGCTTTGTGCTCCTCAGCCTCATCAACCCTGAAGTCAGGAAAGCCAGAACAAAGCCAGCCAGGATTTCCCCCCCGGCTTTATTAATTAAGCAGCTGTTCCTGTGGGATCAGCATGTGCAGGTTCTCCTCCAGAGGCAAATGTGTGCTGTGCCCTTGAAGAACAGCAAGGTGTTGGCTGTGCCAGAACAATGACAGCAAGGGATCTTCTGTCCTGCCCCGCTCCAGGATGAACTCTGATCCTTCCCACTGTCCATGGATATCCCTTGTTATATGTAAGCTGTCCCCAAACTGCCCTGGCCTCTGCAGGTCATTGTTTCAGACACCTCAAACACTCCAAGGAGTGGTGCCCTTCCCTGTGCTCCTGCCTTTGGCCACGCAGAGTAATGAAAAAGGAGAGTTTGCTCTTCCTAAGGCCGAACTTTTCCAGGAAGATACAGTGCAGGAAAGGTGGGAGTTTCACCTTTCTGCATTGCTTCACCTCTGCTGGCCCCAGTTCTGGAATTAGAGAATCACAGAATCACTGAGGCTGGAAAAGACCTCTGAGGTCATCGAGTCCACTCTGTGCCCGACACCCACCTTGTCACCAGCCCAGAGCACTGAGTGCCACGTCCAGTCCTTCCTTGGACAACTCCAGAGATGGGGACTCCCCCACCTCCCTGGGCAGCCCCTCCCAGTGTCTGACCCCTCCTTCTGGGAAGAATTTCTTTCTAATGTCCAACCTACCCCTCCCCTGGCACAGCTATGTCCTCTCCTCCCGTTCCTTGTTTCCCCCCAACTCCCCCCTCCTGTCAGGGAGTTGCAGAGCCAGAAGTTCCCCCCTGAGCCTCCTTTTCTCCAGGCTGAGCCCCCCCAGCTCCATCAGCTGCTCCTGCTGCTTTATTCTCTTCCCCAGCTCTGTTCCCTTCCCTGCACACGCTCCAGCCCCTCCATGTCCTTGTGATGGGCCCAGAACTGGGCACAGCACTGCAGGTGAGGCCTCACCAGTGCCCAGCACAGGGGGACAATCCCTGCCCTGGTCCTGCTGCCACACTATTCCTGACCCAGGCCAGGTGCCAGTGGCCCCTTGGCCACCTGGGGACACCATCAGTGCCTGGACACCCCCTGGATGCAGCAGCACTGCCCAGCACTGCCTGGGCTGGGCCATCAGCAGCTTCTCAACCCAGCCAGCAGTGACCCTGTCCCAGCCACGGGCTGCAGCTTCTCCGGGAGCTTCCCTTCACCAACCACACCGTGGACAACGGATTGTGCCAAAATTCCCAGAGGAAGATTACAGGAGCCTCTTGTGACTCAGCCAAACCCCACAGAGCCTCCCCAGCAGAACCCCTGGGTCCTGTCCCTGTGCTGCTGTGCGGGTGTGGTGCTCCAGCCACGAGCATTCCCGCTGAAATCATTGGGATTACAGTGGCAGAAGGAAAAGATCAGCCACACACTGTTTTATCTGAGGGCCTGCTCTAATTGCCTCATGTAATGAGTGTATTCTTCTCTCCACAATCATGTCTTTATTATAAATTTAATAGGTCTGTAAGTTGGGCAGGGGCTGACCCAGCAGACCTGTTGGGCTGACAGGTTTGAAGTGACATCCCTTCTATTCTAAGTTCCTTTTTGGTATCAGAATAGCCAAGATTTTCCTTGTAATTGTCAGGACAGTTTTAATTACTATCTGAAGAGCTTCCACCCAGCGGCATCTCCACATTCCTGCTGCCTGGCAGGGCTGTGACAGCAGGGATACACCAAGAGCACTGTCCTTTAGCCCCCACTCTTCCCATGTGCTTTCTCCTGCCATATTCCACAGGCAACACCACTGACATCCAGACCCTGCAATACCCATCCCTCCACTGCCCCCACTGTTCCCTCAGCACCAAAACAATCTCTCTGTTGCTC